GTGTGTGTGTGTGTGTGTGTGTGTGTGTGTGTGTGTGTGTGTGTGTGCGTGCGTGCGTGCGTGCGTGCGTACACGTGTGCGTGCATATGTGTGTCTTCACACTGGGGATTTTGTCTCCATGTTTCCCTTGTTAACCCGGTTAATCATTGACCCATTTCTACTATGTAATCTGCTGAAGCCCCGCCCCCTCCAGCACCCACCAGATGTGTGCTGATGACATCACTGGTGACATCATTGAACTGGTCTTTTCTCCGACTGGCTCTGATCACGTTATTAAATGGGAGACGGACTCACGTTGTTCCTGAAGGAGTGGGCTCTGATTGGGTCCTCAGCAGCCAATGAACAGCTGCTGAGGATGATGAAGAGTAGGATGAGGTTGGTGAAGATGTGGTGATGGATCAGAGTGTGGCAGGCCTTTCGGATGCTGCAGACAGAAGGAGAGACAAAGACATGTAAAACCAGAGGTGGTTCAGATCAGGACTCTGTTCTCGGCTGATCAAATGCTATAACAAATAAAAACCCCAAAGAACCTGAGCTCCTCTGTTTGTTCTGAACACTTTCATACTCTTTATCTACAGCAGGACAATCAGGACACGTTATAGGATCAAAATTAATGTTTATTTAATGCTCAGTGGTTTTCTGTACAACTTTGTCTCTCTCATTGTTGCAGAACCTTGGTTCTGTTCTTTCTGACCCGTTCTGCTGTAGATCAGCTGCTGTGTTTGGGATCATGGTCCTGTTGGACCCAGTTTGGTCCTATCTTCAGCCGTTCGACAGATGGGGCTAACAGATGACTTTTATTTTAATGACAGACAAGATCAAGTGGAGTTTATGTCCTGAGGCATCTGTGTTTTTCAAAATAAGAGACTAAAAGTGGTACAGAAGCATTTTTCTCGTTAAGCTCTTATTTTGTATATTGCATGTAAAGTTGGGTCGTTTCACTAAGAGAGACTAAAATCTGCTGTGAACTCATCAACCTGCAGCTCCTCGACTATGTACAACCAGACGTTAGCATTGGGGCTAACACGTTGGTGTGTTCGGTGGAATGGGTGCGTGACAATGAGTGAGTGTTGAAGCAGCTTAGGTTTAAAAGAATCTATCTGCTCACAGGTAAGGAGGTGTGGTTGAAGGTTCATCATGTTTCATGCGCTCTCATACACTTACGGGTTGGTTTTGCTGAGGCAGAAGAATGCGCTACCTTCTGGGATTGGAACAACCTTCTCTTTAGGTGGAGCTAGATCTGCCATCTTCAGCTGGACTCCTCCCTCTGAAAGAAAAGAGAGCAGATGGTTTCAGTCATTGTCAAGAAGAAACAGCCGGCAGAACCAGACTCTACTTTGGGCTTTGAACAAGTCTGAAACCTGAATCAGTTGTAGCCTCAGAATCAGATGGCTCCATCACTTCACCTTCAAACAACATCTGCCCAGACTTTGCTCTCGTAGGTAGGAGGCGGCCTAGCATTTGGTGTCCAAGACCAACGTCTTTGGTACCAACATCTCCAGTTTTGAGATGTCCCGTGGCTTTGGTAGAGACAAGTGGTTTAAAACTAGTATAAAGAGGACATCTCGGTAGGACCGGCCAGACATCAGCAGCTGTTAGGGCGTGGAAGGTGTTCTCTAAAGGCAGAGAGGGACTTCCTGCTTGGATAAACTTTGGATCCTTGTTCCACCATCATGAAACTGTAGATGGGAATAATTGAGACTGCCTTGTTTGTGGGAATGACAGAGTCAGACATAGTGGCTAGGAGTAACCTTTGGTCCAGAAGAATCATCAGCCTGCAGAGGCTCAACTATCTACTGCAGACCCAGAAGTTTGTCTGTTGGCAGTATTAGGGACCTAGATCTGGTTCAAGCTGCCATGGTTAGTCCGTAGAGCTCATTGATGGGTGCGGGGACATGGGTCAGGTGCTCTAATGGGCTCTGGACCTGAATAAAGACCTGCAGCCTTGGTCCTCCGCATAAAGAGATCTGACTGTCTGAGAAAGGACTTGACTGTACTTGGAATGAAACAACAGAGATGTCAAATCAGATTCTAACTTAAAAAAAAAGAAATCAGCTTTAAAAACTCACCATCGTCTCCCTCGGGAAGCTCCTCGTCTTCCTCATACTCAGTGTCTTCATCAATGTCCACCTGCAAAGACAAACAGAGGTCCGACCAACTGAAAGTCAACAACACAGAACTTGCTGTCAGATGAGCCCGTTCACCTTCACATCTCCTTCAGCCTCCTCCTCCTCCTCAGCTCCTTCCTTCTGCTTACTGGAGAAAAGAAGTCAGAAAACAGTTTGACAGGATGAGAACAAGATTTATTCTAATTGCTTATCCCTCCATCACTCACTCCTTTTTCTTGTCCTCTTTGTCTCCTCCAGCCAAATTGTCAACAGCTATGGCCAAGAAGACGTTCAGCAGGATGTCTGAAAGTCGTTAAGGATGAAGAACTTTTGACTTCTCCTTCAGATTTATGAGCTTTAGTTAGAGGCTAGAGTATAAACAGGAGGAAGCAGGTCCTGGTTGAAGAAGCAAATCACCAGGGGTCATCTGTGTGTGTGTGTGTGTGTGGGGGGGGGGGGGGGGGAC